CACAGTAGATTGTTTCAAAAGTAGGATAGATGAGGCGGGGGATCAGATTAGTGAGTTGGAGGACAAAGTAGAAAGCATCTCACAGAAAGAGCAAGAAAAGGAAAAGAGGCTCAGAAAGAATGAAGAGGGATTAAGAGAAATGCAAGACAATATGAAACATAATAATATCCGAATAATAGGAATACCAGAAGGAGAAGAAGAAGAACAAGGGATAGAAAACATATTTGAAAGAGTAATGAGAGAAAATTTCCCTAATTTGATGAGAGAAAAAGTCACACAAATCCAGGAATCACAGACAGTCCCAATCAAGAGGAACCCAAGAAGGCCCACTTCAAGACACATCATCATTAAAATGGTAAAATTCCAAGAAAAAGAGAGAATCTTAAAGGCAGCAAGGGAGAAAAAAGAAGTAACATACAAGAGAGCCCCAATAAGGTTAGCTACTGACTTCTCAATGGGAACACTCCAAGCAAGAAGAGATTGGCAAGAAATATTCCAAGTAATGAGAACCAGAGGCCTACAACCAAGGCTACTTTACCCAGCAAGGCTCTCAATCAAGATAGAAGGCCAAATAAAGAGCTTGCAAAACAAAAAAAGTCTAAAAGAATACGCCTCCACCAAACCAGCCCTACAAGAAATACTAAAGGACTGCTTTAAGGAAAGGAAGGACAAGAGGGAGACAGAGAGGAACACAGGTACAAAAATGGCAATGAATAAGTACCTATCAATAATAACCTTAAACGTAAATGGATTAAATGGTCCAATCAAAAGACACAGAATAGCTCAATGGATAAGAAAGCATGACCCACACATATTCTTCCTACAAGAGACCCAACTCAGGACAAAAGACCATCACAGACTAAAAGTGAAGGGCTGAAAACAAATTTTTCAAGCAAACAGACAAGAAAAAAAAGCTGGGGTAGCAATTCTCATATCAGACAAAATAGACTTCAGAAAAAGGACCATAAAGAGTGACCCAGAAGGTCACTTCATAAGACTCAAGGGAAGAATCCACCAAGAAGACATAAACGTTTTGAGTATACAATGTAGGGGCACCCAAATATATCAAGAAAATCTTAGAGGACTTCAAGAACCATATTGACAGCAACACAATTATAGTAGGCGATTTTAACACCCCACTATCAAAAATGGACAGATCTTTCAAACAAAATATCAACAAAGACATTTTGGCATTAAACAACACCCTAGATAAAATGGACTTAACTGATATATATAGAGCCCTTCACCCCAAAGAAGCTAAATACACATTCTTTTCAAATGCACATGGAACATTTTCAAAGACACACCACATGATAGGATACAAAACGAGCCTCAAACAATTCAATAAAATTGAAATCATACCAAGCATCTTCTCTGACCACAAGGGACAAAAATCAGAAACCAACCCCAAAGGAAAAAACCCAAAGAACCCAAAATCATGGAGACTGAATGATATACTATTAAATAACGAATGGGTCAAGAATGAAATTAGGGAAGAAATCAAAACGTTTCTGGAAACAAATGAAAATGATCTCACAACAACCCAAAACTTATGGGACACAGCAAAGGCTGTCCTCAGAGGGAAGTTCATAGCAATACAGGCCTACATAAAGAAGAGAGAAACATTTCAAACTAGCAACCTAACCCTACGCCTCCAAAGACTCGAGAAACAACAACAAAGACAGCCCAGAGCAAGCAGAAAGAAGGAAATAACCAAAATTAGAGCAGAATTAAATGACATAGAGACTAAAAGCACAATTCTAAGGATCAATGAATCCAGGAGTTGGTTCTCTGAGAATAAAAACAAAATAGACAAGCCTTTAAGTAGGCTCATCAAGAAAAGAAGAGAGAAGACACAAATAAACACAATCAGAAATGAAAGAGGAGAGATTACAACTGATACCACAGAAAGAGAAGGGATTGTAAGCAATTACTATGAAGAACTGTATGCCAAGAAATTTGAAAACCTAGGGGAAATGGACACATTTCTAGAAAAATACAATCTTCCAAAACTCAATGAAAAAGAAGCAGAAAATCTGAACACACCTATAACAGCAAAAGAAACTGAAGCAGTAATCAAAAAACTCCCATCACGCAAAAGCCCTGGATCAGATGGTTTCACAGGAGAATTCTACAAAGCATTTAAGGAAGAGCTAACCCCTATTCTCCACAGACTATTCCAAAAAATCCAGAACCATGGAAAACTCCCAAAATCTTTTTATGAAGCCAGCATCACCCTAATTCCAAAAGCAGATAGAGATACAACAAAGAAAGAAAACTTCAGGCCAATATCGCTGATGAACATAGACGCTAAAATCCTCAACAAAATATTGGCAAATCACATCCAACAATATATCAAAAAGATCATACACCATGACCAAGTGGGATTCATCCCAGGGATGCAAAGATGGTTCAATATGCACAAATCAGTTAATGTAATACATCACATAAACAAAAGAAAAGACGAAAACCACATGGTCATATCAATAGATGCGGAAAAAGCTTTTGATAAGGTACAACACCCATTCATGGTAAAAACACTCAGCAAAGCGGGAACAGAGGGAGCATTCTTCAATATAATAAAGGCCATATATGAGAGACCTATATCCAACATCATACTCAATGGGCAAAAACTAAAATCTTTTCCACTACGATCAGGAACAAGACAAGGATGTCCACTTTCACCACTTCTATTCAATATAGTATTGGAAGTTTTAGCCATAGCGATCAGGCAAGAAAAGGAAATAAAAAGGCATCCAAATAGGAAAGGAGGAAACAAAACTGTCACTGTTTACAGATGACATGATAGTGTACATGGAAAACCCTATAGACTCTACCCAAAAACTGCTCAAACTAATTAATGAATTTGGCAAAAAAGCGGGTTACAAAGTCAATATCCAGAAATCAAAGGCATTTTTTTATACCAACAATGAATCAGCAGAAGCAGAAATCAAGGAAAAGATCCCATTCGATATAGAAAAAACAAAAATAAAATATCTGGGAATAAACCTAACTAAGGAGGTAAAAGACCTGTATGCAGAAAACTACACAACCCTGAAGAAAGAAATCAAGGAAGGCAGAAACAAATGGAAACATATACCTTGTTCATGGATTGGAGGAATTAAAATCATCAAAATGTCCATACTACCCAAAGCAATATACAGATTCAATGCAATACCTATTAAAGTACCAATGGCATATTTCACAGACACAGAACAAACACTTCAAAAATCTCTATGGAACATAAACGACCCCGAATAGCAGCTGCAATTTTGAGAAAGAAGAACAAGGTAGGAGGAAATCACAATACCTGATATCAAACTGTATTACAAGGCCACTGTAATCAAAACAGCCTGGTACAAGCATCAAAACAGGCACATAGATCAATGGAACAGAACAGAGATCCCAGAAATCAACCCAAGTCTGTACCAGCAATTCATATTCGACAAAGGGGGCAGTAACATAAAATGGAGTAAAAACAGCCTCTTCAACAAATGGTGTTGGGAAACCTGGACAGCTACATGCAAAAAAATGAAACCTGAGCACCAACTTACACCATACACCAAAATAAATTCAAGGTGGATAAAAGACTTAAATATAAGCCTTGAAACCATTAAAGTCCTAGAGGAGAACATTGGCAGGAAAATCTCACATATTTCGAGCAGCAGCATTTTGACTGATATGTCCCCTAGAGCAAGGAATATAAAGGAAAGAATAAACAAATGGGATCTCATCAAAATAAAAAGCTTCTGCTTGGCTAAAGAAAATAGTATTAAATTAATAAGATAACCAACTGCACAGGAAAACATATTTGCCAATGATGATACCTCAGACAAAGGTTTAATCTCCAAAATATACAAAGAACTTACACGACTCCACTCTAAGAAGACAACTAACCCAATTAAAAAATGGGAAAAGGACTTGAACAGACACTTCTCCAAGAAGGACATACAGAAGATCCAGAGAAACATGAAGAAATGCTCAATATCGCTAGCTATCAGAGAGATGCAAATTAAAACCCCAATGAGATACCACTTTACACCAGTCAAAATGGCTATCATAAACAAAGCAACAAACAACAAATGTTGGAGAGGTTGTGGGGAAAAGGGGTCCTTAGTTCACTGTTGGTGGGATTGCAGACTGGTGCAACCATTATGGAAAACAGTATGGAATTTTCTCAGAAAAATAAAAATCGACCTGTCATTTGACCCAGCAATTTCACTGCTAGGATTATATCCTAAGAATCCTAAAACATCAATTTCAAAGAACGTATGCACCACAATGTTCATAGCAGCACAATTTACAATAGCCAAGAGTTGGAAGCAACCTAGGTGCCCATCAGTAAATGAATGGATCAAAAAATTGTGGTACATATACACAATGGAATTCTATGCAGCAGAGAGAAAGAAGGAGCTACTACCCTTTGCAACAACATGGATGGAACTGGAAAGCATTATGCTGAGTGAAATAGGCCAGGAGTTGAAAGACAAATACTATATGATCTCACCTTTAACAGGAAGCTAAACAACAAAACAAACAAGCAAGCAGAAAAAAAAGAAAGACACTGAAATAGAGAACAAGGGGACAGTGACCAGAGGGGAGAGGGAAGGGAATTTAAGGGGAAAAAAGGGGAGGGATTTGGAACAAATAGGAAGGACAGAGGGACGAGAACTAAGGGGGATGGAAATGGGAGGGAGGTGGGGGGCATGGGGCCGGGGAAGCTGGGATGGGAAAAATAGACAAAAAACTGTACTTGAAAAATAACTAAAATTTAAAAGAAAAAAAGGGGGGAAAAAAAAGAATAATGCTACTATGAACATCTCAATACTAGCTTGAGTGCATAGATATGTTTTCAATTCTCTTGGATACATATCTAGGAGTGAAATTTCATACAGTAACTTTCTGTTACATCTCAAAAACAAGTACTATAAGCTTTCTAATTTTGTTCTTATACAAATGGGCATTGAGATTATATCACTTTTTATTTATTCATTCTTTTTTAAAATATGAGATGTTTCATGAATTTGTGTGTCACCCTTATGCAGACACCATGCTAACTTCTTTGTATCATTCCAATTTTACTCTATGTGCTGTGGGATTGGGCACTCATTATCTATATTTAGTCACTACCGTAATTTTGTGTGAAAACTCTTTCTACTAACTAAATTACTGATATAACTGAGAGAACATTGTAACTGTTTATTTACAATGCAAAATGAGTTTAAAATGTGTTTTATTAGAAGTGATTTATATATAGGGAATATAATTTTATGTTATATTTTTAAATAAATTTTTATTTTTCAATTACACTTGACATATGATACTAGTTTAAGGTGTACAACGTAGTGATCAGACATTTATGTAACTTACGATATGATCACTGCAAGTCTAATGCCCATCTAACACCACACAGTTATTACATTGTATTCTCTATGCTGTACCTTACATCCCTGTGAATGTTTTTATAACTGGCAATTTGAAAATCTTAATTTTTATCCCTTGCTCACCCACCAATCCAACCCCACTCCCATCTGACAAGCATCAAAATGTTCTGTGAAAAACTGAGTTTTTGTTTTTTTGTTTGAGATTCCACATATAAGTGAAATCACATGGCATTTGTCTCTGACCCATTTTACTTAGCATAATACTCTCTATGTCTATCCATATTGTTGCAGATGGCAAAATTTGATTCTTTTCATAGCAAAGTAATATTCCATTATATATGTGTACCGCTTCCTCTTTATCCATTTCCTCATCTATGGAAACTTACGCTGCTTCCACATTGTGGTTATAGTTAACAACGCTGCAATTATCACAGGGATATAGTATGTTTTTTGAGATGAGTATTTTGGATAAATACCCAGAAATGGAATTGTTGGATCCCTTTTTTGTCTCCTGTTATAGCCTTTGTTTTAAAGTCTATTTTTATCTAAGTTCTGCTATTCTAGCTTTTTAAAATTTCATAAATATATTTTGCCATCCCTTGACTTTCAGTCTGTATGTGTCTCTTGTATGCAGTATACATATGGGTGAATGTATAAATTTACCCACTCTATCCTTTGACTGAATCACTGAATCTATTCATATTTAACATAATTATTGATAGGTATGTACTTATTGCCCTTTTACTATTCATATTTTTTATCTCTTTTTTTCCTTCTTAAAGACAGTCCTTTAACTTTTGTTGCTATACCAGTTTGGTGGTGATGAACTCCTTTAACTTTTTCTTGTCTGAGAAGTTCTGTCTTTCAATTCTAAATGATAGCCTTTCTGGGTAATCTTCATTGCAGGTCCTTGTTTTTCAACATTTTGAATATTTCATGCCAATCCCTTCTGGCCTGCAAAGTTTCTGTTGAGAAATCAGCTGACAGTTGTATGGGAACACCCTTGTATGTAACTAATTGCTTTTCTCTTGATGTTTTTCAGATTCTCTCTTCATCTTCAACCTTCAGCATTTCAATTACCATGTGTCTTGGTGTGGGTCTCTTTGGGATCATATTGTTTGGTACTCTGAGCTTGTATGTCTGTTTCCTTCTCCATGTTAGAGCAGTTTTTTGTCATTATTTCTTCAAGTAGGTTTTTGGTTCCTTTTTCTCCCTTTTCTCCTTCTGTTATCCTTATGATGCAAATATTGGTATGTTTGATGTACAAGAGGCCTCTTAAACTATCCTCAGTTTGGGGGATTCCTTTTTCTTTTTGCTGTTCTAACTGGATGTTTTGTTTCTTTATCCTCCAACTCTCTGATTAGGATCCTCTAGTTCATCTACCTTTGATTTCCTCTAATGTACTCTTCATTTCAGTTATTACAGTCTTCACTTCTGACTGGTTCTTTTTAACATTTTCTATCTCCACTTTTATGTTTCCTATTTCTTTGTTTAAGTTGTCAATGAGTTCATCTATTTTTCACTTAAGTTCATTGTGCTTCCCTATAATGAACATTTTGAATTCTGCAAGTGATAGATTGTTTGTCTCCATTTTGTTTATATCTTTTTCTGAAGTTGTGTTCTATTCTTTCATTGGGACATGTTTTGTCCTTTCCTCATTTTGGCTGCCTGCCTGTGTTTGTTTCCATCTATTAGGTACAGGTGCTACTTCTCTTGGTCTTAGAAAAGTAACCAACCTTATGTAGTAAGTGTTCTGTGGGGCCTGGTGACACAGTCTTCCTTGTCACCTGAGTTGAGTGTTCCAAGTATGTCCCTGTGTGGGATGTATGTGCCTTCTTGTAGTTCAGGCTTAATTGCTGTTGGCATGTCAATGGGAGGGACTGACCTTCAGGCTGACTGTTTGTAAGAACTCACTATGACTACAGAGGAGAAGCTTGAGCGCAGGAGCTAAAGCCACAGAGCAGAAACTACTTTAGTGGGGCTCTGCTGGCTGCCAAGTTTGCCCTTTGGGCGTGTCATTTGTGCAGGTGGTTGGGCATCTGATGTGGTCTGAAGCTTCTCACCAGGTATACTAGCTCTGTGGCCTCATGGCAAGGGCTCTAGTGAGGGCCAATTTCAGTTGCTGCCTGTGCCCTTCCTGGAGCCACCTGATATGAGCAACAATGTGATCTGAAGGTGACTGCCACTATGCTGGGCTTGGGGGTGTTTCTAAGAAAGGAGCTGCATACAGATGTGGAGCCTTGACTCCTGTGACCTCTGCCCTCAATAGCCTGGCTCTGGTGACCAGTGGGATTTGTGATCATAGGTTCAATAGGACAGTAGAAAATAAAAAAAGTCCTTAACTGCCTATCACCCCAGGATTTGGCATAGAGGAAGCAAAGAGGATTGCCCATTTCCTAACTTTCCACTTAAAGAGACGTATTTGCAGACTTTAAAAGCTGTTGCCTAAAGGTCTGGGTTCCAATCAGCCTGAATTTAGATGCTAACTGAAATCCTCTTTTTCATGACAATGGCAGGTCTTAGCACACATTTAATTACTGAAAGTCACTAAAAGTAAAATAGGCTGCTTCAATTACCGAGGTTTCAGAACAACCAAGACCTAGAGCAAGATTGAAAAGATAAGGTTCATTTCCTTAAAGACTGAGAGAAGTGGTGGGTTCATGTAACGCATAGAAAATGGCCTTACTTAGCTGATGTGACTCAGTGGACTGCACATTGGCCTACAAACTTAAGGGTCGCTGGTTCAATGCCCAGTCAGGGCCTCTGGGATATGGGTTAGCTCCCTGGCTAGGGGCATGCAAGAAGCAACCAGTCAATGTTTCTTTCATATACTGATATGTCTTTCCCTCTCTTTCTCCCTTCTTCCCCTCTCTCTAAGAATAAAATATTTAAAAAAGAAAAACTAACAGAGAGTCAAGGAAAATGAAGAAACTGAAATATGTTCCAAATAAAAGAATAATAGAAAGACTTTAAGGAAATGAAGATTAACTGATTTACCTAATAAACAGTTCAAAATAAGTCTTAAAGATGCTCACTGACCTCTAGAGAAGAATAAATGAACATGGTAAGAATTTCAACAATGAGATAGAAAATATTAAAAAGTACCAAATACAAGCCCAAAACTGAAGAATACAATAACTCAAAAATACAATGGAGGGATTCAATAGCAAATCAAATGATGCACAAGAAAATATATCAATGAACTTGAAGACAGGACAGTGAAATTCACCCTATCAGAACAGTAAAAATAAAAAAGAATGAAAAAGAGTTAAATAGCTTAAAGGATTTATGGAACATCAAAGTGAACTAAAATTCATATTGTACAAGCCCCACACTTAGAAAAAAGAAAGATGCAGAAAATGTTTTTGAAGATCTAATGGCTGAAAACTCCCCTAATCTGGAGAAGAACACAAATATCCAGATACAAGAATCTCAGAGTTCCAATGATGAAGAATCCAAAGAGAATCCACTAAGACATGTTAAAATTAAAGTGTCAAAAGTTAAAGACAAGGGATAATCTTTAAAGTAGCAAGAAAACAAACAAACAAAAAACAACTGGTTATGTAAAAAGAAAACCCCCATAGGCCTATAAGCAAATTTTTCAGGAGAAACTTTGGAGACCAGAGGGGATGGGCACAATAAATTCAAAGCGCTGAAAGAAAAAAGTGCCAAGCAAGAATACTCTATCCAGCAAAGTTGTCCTCATAATTGAAGTTAAGAGAGTTTTCCAGACATACAAACGCAAGGAGTTCATCATCATCAGACTGGCCTCTAAGAAATGTTAGAGAGACTTTTTAAAACAGAAACTGAAATCATAAATAGGGAAATATGTCTCATCGACACAGGTAAATGTAAGATAAAATTCAGATAATCTCATGTTGTCAAGGCGGTGAGTTAATCACTTACACATCTAGTATGAAGGTTAAAAGACAAAAGCAGTACAAATAAATATAACCACAATAATTTGTTAACAGATACACAAATTAAAAGATGTAAACTGTGACATAAAAAGCATAAAACGTGAGGGGAAAGCAAAAATGCAAAGGTTTAAAATGTATTCAAACTTATTACTACCACCTAAAAATAGACTGTTAAAAATATAAGTTGTTCCCCTGGCCCGTATGGCCTACTTGGTTGGGGCATTGTCCCACAACCAAAAGTTTATGGGTTTGATTCCTAGTCACGGCACATATCTAGGTTGTGGGTTCGATTCCTGGTCCGAGCACTGTCACATGGGACCCTGTTCCAGATGCATACAACCCCCATTTGGGTGTCATATCTGGTCTAGGTGCATACAGGAGGGAACCAATTGATGCTTATCTCATGTATCAATGTTTCTTTCTCTCCTTTCCTCTCTCTCTCCTCCCTCCCCAAAAAACAAAGAAAAATTTGTCCTCGAGCCCTGACCGGTGTGGCTCAGTGGCTTAGGTGTCATTCTGCAAATAGGAAGGTCACTGGTGTGATTCCTGGGTCAGGGCACATGCCTGGGTTATGGACCAGGTACCTGGTTGGGGTGTGCAAGAGGCAAATGATCCATGTTTCTCTCCAACATTGATGTATCTCTTCCTCTCTGCCTCCCTCCCTATGTCTCTCTCTAAAAAGAAATAAAGTCTTTTAAAAAATGGTCTCAAATGAGGATAAATATAACAATAAAAACTTTTCTAGATTTTTATAAATGTAAGCTTTATGGTAACCACAAAGTAAAAACCTTTAGTAGATACA